TATTTACCAAAAGCAAGTATAGGTGAAGCGATTACTCTTGTTGGTTTTTTTTTGTTGGGGGGGGCAGTCAGTGTCATGCATTTGACTATAATTTTGCTGCTTAGGCTGACTGAGAAAAAACAGACTAGTGTGTTTCTTTTTAATCTGTTCACTTGGTTCCTTCACCTAGGGTTCCTTAAGGGTTGGTTATCAAGTGAAACCTATTTAGAGAAAAGGATGTAATTAAGGAGAATTACGTTGTACAATTGAAAATTTAATCATGTGATTACTTTGTTAAAATCATAATTGTATGTAAATCACTCGTGGTAAAAATTGTTTGGGCTGCTTGCAAAAGGGTATGTAATGGAAAATCTGTTTTTTTACTCTAGACCCTTTATGATTTTAGGTCACTTTAAACATGCTTCAAATGTTTCTCTACCTATATGCAAGTAGAAGCTATTTGAATACTTTAGATGCCTTTCTCCTTAAATATATCTGGGAACACACCTTGGTCATTACCTGGATATCAACAGTGGTATGATGAGCTGTCTCAGACTGACTCATGGGTCCTGATTGTTACAGGGAGCAGATGCAGAGAGTGAGCTGCTAAATAAGATTTTTACTGCTTTAGAGCGCTGCTTGGTTGATACTCTTGAAAATTCCATTTTATTAAGAGTTTACAAATCTAGGAGTTGGTATTGAATTTTAAATCTGAGTGCTGAGCATCTCTGGAGATGATCACACTGAAGACACCCTCTTCTGACTGGCAGGGTCACTCTGGCACTCCTGGCTTTCTCCCATCTCCACTCAGTGCAGTACTAGCTTGTATTTGTGACATCCTAAATGAAAGTGTCATGAGTGTTAATATTACTTTTTTTTTTTTTTTGCAGTGCTAGTAATTAGACCCATAGTCTTAGGATGTGTTTCACAATGCTCTTTACTGAAGTGTATCGTAAGCCCTTTAAATGTTTTTAAATGTGTTTGTTCGTATGTGTGTTGGGAGATGTGGATGTCCGAGGACAGCTTGTGGGACTTGGTTCTTTCCTTTCACCCAGGAGTTGAGGTCTTCAAGCTTTGCAACAAGCACCTTTACCTTCTGAGCCATATTGCTGGCGCCTAATCTTTAAAAGTTGGTTTATGTACAAGCATTGATAATATGAGTGCAGGCTGTACAGAAGCCAAACATTCCCAAGGAGCTGGAGCTGGATGGGTGTTAGAGAAGTAGCTGCTCCTAACTTCCTTCCAGTCACGCCATGTGCCCCTTCACTTTTATTTGAGTTAGGGTCTCACTAGGTTGCTCAGGATGGCTTTGAACTCAGGATATCCTGCCTTAACCTGAGGAACTAAGATTACGGAGATGGCCACAGTATCTCATAGGTAATAGTAACATTAATATTATTGATAAAGTAATTGCCTATACCTGACCTCTATGTTATTCTGCTTTTATATCATTGTTCTTCTGATTTTGTAGAAAATAATTAGGAATGTGATTCTCTGTTTATTTCTTGAATAATTACTGATAGAATTATTCTTTGAAACTATTTAGGCCTGTGCTTTTGAAGAATAGCCTGTTAGCAACTATCTTACTCATTTATAAGGTCCTGGTCTGATTAAGTTAGACTTCTGCTACTGTTGTTATTGTTTTAGTGTGCTGCTATGTAGTCTTGGTTGGTCTGGAACTTCATATGTAGCTTGGGTTGGCCTCAAATTTATGTTTGTCTTCCTAACTCTGCTTCCTGAATGCTAGGATTTATAGGCTTACCCACTATGCCTGGTTAGACATTTAGTCTAAAACTCTCAGGCAGATAGCAGTAGGAATCTCAGTCAGTTTTGTGGAAGGTGCTTAGTGTCAGAGGGCTAACCCCTGTTTGAATTTGAATTACTGGTTGGCATGGCCTCTCATTAATCTGAGAGTTTCACCTACCCAGAGTGGCTAATACCCACGTTGGAGTTTGTTATGAGGGTTAAGTCATATACTGAACAGTGGCCACCTGTGTAGGTCTGGATTTTTCTATTTGATCCTTGCTAGATTTATTCTAGTCTACCTTATTCTTCCACTGTATTCTTATTTGTGACTTTATTGGTTATACTTGTTCACAGTGCCTCAGACAGAAATATTCAAGATTGTCTTTTAGTCTGCCTTAAACTTGTAACAAAAGTGGTCAGAATCCAAAGGCTTCATTCTGCCCTTTACCTGTCTCAGAGTGTACTCTCTGTTAGTATGTGCAACTCCATGGCTATATTGCTATTGGTCACAGGTTTGAGATTCTTTACAAAGGTGAAAGAATTGAATGAATTCTTTTTGAAAACCTATTGGCATGTCTTGGCAGGCAAATCAAGGTAGAGGACATAGATAGAAGACTTCTGGGTCCATTTGCCTCTTCTGTATTAAACCTCCCCACCATTGTGCTGGATCTAGGAGGTAGGCCCTTTGGGAGGTGATGGGGTTCATGAGGTCTGCCTGCTTTGCTAGAGGTTCCAGAGCCTACACTCCACCTTCAGCAGTTTGGAGAAGGTGCCTATTTAGAATCCACCCTGTGGCATTCTGATTCCATTTCAGCCTCCAGAACTGTGAACAAGACATTTCTGCTTTCTTCGATACTTTGTCATAGCAACAGCAGCCCACTAATTGCATCTCATCATCATTTCCTCATCAGTGGTTGTGAGAGACTACAGGTGTCCTGAAAGATTCCAGTCTTAGTGAGAGGTACAGTTGAGTCTTTTATAGGGAAAATTCTCTGGGTGCCCAGAGTAAGAAAGGATTTAGCCAGTAGTCTCTGGAGAAGGCTCCGTATGTGTGTTAGGGACTGTTTCTCATCTCAGTTGAAATATAAGACATTTTAAAATAGAATTATTGTTTAGTTGTATTTATACAAAGGTATTTGAAGGCCTACTATGTGCTGGGAAGAGCTCTAAGTTTCTAGTTGTGATTCTAGTACAGATTGTAGCTGTAACAGGCAATGCTGGGACAATGTAATAAAAGATAGGGAAAAGTACTGTGGGGACAGAGAAGGAAAGATCACTAATTAGGACTTAGAGAAGGCTTTGTGTTTGTTGTCTTGTTTTTATAGTGCTGGGGTTAAACTCAGGGCCTTGCTCATTCTCTTGAGCTGTGTCTTTATAGTATGTTGCAAACTTATGCAAGAATGTATGTAAAAGCATGAAGATGTAGACATGGTGGGGTTAGGATAGGGCAGGTTTGTTGTAAGCCAAGGACTGAGTGCAGAGCAGGCCTTGCATAGTAGCCAAGTGCCCAGTGAGCATTGGGTCCTCTTGAATGTGACGTCAGAGATAAGAATGGTCCTTCCTCTGCAACTACCTTACAAATTTCATTTTGAAATCCATCTTTGAGATAGTTCTTGCATTTATTCTTTGGGAAACACATTAGAATCCAATCCTAATACAATAGAGACACGCCTCTTGGGAATAATACCAGAGCACAGTCACTAACAGAAACAGATGGTACATGTACCCAGTACTCTGCTCTCCTAAATAGAGTTAGTACTCTGCTCTCCTAAATGGCTCCTTTCTGCCATCTGGCTCAAAAGTTCATTTATTTTGCCTAAGCTGGTAGTTTCAAAATTAGGGGATTTGCCTCTTGGGGTTTATAGGAGGTTCATTTTGGAGATGATGAGTTCATAGACTCCATGAGGCCATGTGTTTGAAAGGGAGGGAGGGGAACTGGAGAGATGACTCTGTGGCTAAGAGTGCTGTTCCTTCCCATCACCCACACTGGACAGATCACAACCAGTCATCCAGCTTCATAGAATCTGATGTCCTCTTTTGTGTTCCATGGTCACAGACCCAGACAAATGCACACACATGAATAAAAAATAAAATAAAAAATTCAAACAACAAACCATCCGACCAAAACACTACTGTGTATGCCACAATTTTATTCTTTTGTGTATGTAAATTACAAATATATATATATATATACACACACACACACGTACACATACATATATCCATATCCATATATATATGGATATACACACACATACATACACACACACAGTGCGCGCGCACACACACACACACACACACACACACACACACACACGAGTGCATGCAAATAAAATGAGGTTATCCACTTCTTCCTCTCCAGTTTTTGGGACACATGTTATCAGGATTTGAGCACTGATTTGAGCCGTAAGTTTAAGACTCTTCCAAAGAGACTTTGAAGTGTGTGAAGACTGTATCTGTGTTTTAAGAGTGTGTGCCATTTACATTTAGTACCTGTTTGAAGCAACTGTACTAGATAATACACTGTGATCAAGTTAGTGAGCAGTGTGTGCTTGTTGGTACTTACATTCAAAGAACAATCCATGTCAAACCATCCCCCACCCCACCCCTCTTTTTTTCTGAGACAGTGTTTTTCTGTTAACAGCCCTGGCTGTCCTGGAACTCGATCTATAAATCAGGGTGGCCTCGAACTCAGAAATCCGCCTGCCTCTGCTTCCTTAGTGTTAGGATTAAAGGCATGTGCCACCATGCCTGGCTTAGGTCACCTTAGTGAGATAGTGAGGACCTTGCTGTATCAGACCCTCCTTTCAAGCTCACTAGGTCTCCAGTTCTTTGGTACCACACTGACATCTAGAGTCAGTTGTCTGCATTCCTGAGGCATTTTCTGATAGGCTTTGGGTTTCCTCTGTTTATAGCCTTCCTCTAGTCTCTTTTAGTATTGTTTTGTTGGTGATAGAACCTAAGTTGTTTTGTGTACCTCCCTCAGCTGGAGAATGTTCACTGCCCACTGCTCCGGTACAGTATCAGAAGGAATCACGTTTGTTCCAAGATACTGTTTACAATGAGTTTCTCTTACTCAGAAGTTGCTCTTCTCCTCAATCCTTTTGTCCTCACTTGATTCTAATTAGTTTCATCATTTCTACAGCTCAGGAAGGTATTTATTCCCCTTCAGAACTGATCTGTGGTTTAACTTGAAGCCTTCTCCCAGTTAACGGCTATCACACATCTAGTATGTTGGGTGGACTGACAAGATATACATGATAACAGTTTGTAAAAACTGTTAAGATGAAGTTTTTCTTTAAAATGAGGGTTAGACTGTTCCTGGAAAATTAGAAAAAAGGTGTCCAGTTGAGTTTTCTTGAGGTTTTCATATTCTGTAGTTACAGTTAGTGAGAGCTACTTCTGTTCTGCCTTCTGGTGTGGTTGGCTGTTTTCCCACTTGTGCTGTCCTTTTCTTTTGGTGATGGCGGTTGTTTTTGAGACAAGATACTGTGTCACTGAACTCAGGTCCGTCCTATACTCAGGGATGACCTTGAACTTCTGACTCTCTTTATACTTCACAGTGTTGGGAATACAGACTTGTGTCACTTTGCTGAGTTTATGTGGTGCTGGGGATCAAAGCTAGGACTTTGTGTCTACTAGGCAAGCACTCTGCTAACTGAGCTATATCCCAGCTCTCTTTGATGTTGTCTTGATTGCTGTTATGTCCATTCACACTGCCATAGATTCTGGAGTTGCACTGTCAGTGGTTTAAGTAAAAAGTAAGCACATCTATGGTCTTCCAGGGCTGGGGAGTGCTTTTCTATTTTCATAAGTGCCGTCTTGCTCCTGTGACAGTAAACAGGGATCTGTGTAAGGTTATGTTACCAGTGCTGTCATCCTACAGCGGCATAGGAGCTACTTTGTAATTACGCTGTTTTTGGTCTTGTGTATATTTAGAATCATTTTCGTGTGTTTTATGCGTGCCTGAGCATATATGTGCTCATGTATGTGTGCGTGTAAGCACTTGTTTCTGTTTGAATTTTCAGTTTTGTGTAAGCATCTGCACTCCCACCCTTTGCTTCAGTGTTGTGTGGTCTTTTGACAGAGAATATCATGTAGCCCCCTTTGAACTTCCTGAGAGGCTCAGGACCACATTAAGCTTTAGATCCTTTGCTTTCACCCTGTAAATACTGGGATTCCAGGTACCATGCTCATCTTGGTTTAGTTTGTTTCTGAAATAGGGCTCAGGGTCTTGCTATGTAGCCTTAGCTGGCTGTGAGCTGGTAATTTTGCCTTAGCCTCCCAAGTGCTGGCTATCCAAGTGATGACCATCGTGCCTGACCCTTCCAGTTATTGTAAAAATCTGGTTACCATTTTTCCTTTTAAAAGTCAGTGTCTCACTACTTAAGCCTGGCTAGCTTGCAAGTTGCAGTGTAGATGAAGTTGGCCTCATTTTTTTCAGAGATGTGCCTGCTTCTGCCTCCCAAGTGCTGGGATCAAAGATGTGTGCCCATGCGCCTAGCTCTATTTTTGCTTCCTTTAGAGTAGTATGTGGGAACTAAAATAAGATCTGTCTTGATGTTATTGTCAAATCTTTAACTAGAAACTTTAAAGCTTTTAGTTCCAGTCTTGCTTCAGATGACATACTTTTGTTGAAAAAGTACCTAGGAGTCAGAGGCAGGCATGTCTTTGTGAGTTTCAGTCCAGCCTGGTCTACATAGTAGGTTCCCAGCCAGCTAAGACTATATAGGGAGACCGTATTTCAAAGAAAGAAAATAAAATAAGCCCTAGTTCAATAGGAAAAATTGTGAATCGGTAGTTTTTGTCTTTCTGCTTTTTTTTTTTTTTTTAATGTCACAGGAGGATGAGTTTAGTATGTGGATGATATTCTCTCTTGGTTAAAAAAAGGTTAGATTTTAGTTTTAAAAACTGAATCTGGGGATGGAACTCAGGGACTTAATAAATATTGAGCAGGTGCTCTGCCACTGAGCTAAATCCCTGGCTTGTGAAAAGCCTGACAAATTAGATAATGCTCTCCATTATCCAGCCCCTTAAAAAAAAGGACAAAGAAAGTCACACTTCATTGTTCATCATCCTGTTGTTTTTGCCTGTTTCCTAGTGGTCAGTTCTCTGTGCACATTGTCATAGAAGGCTTATCATTCTTACCATTCATTGTGGAACAGGTCTCCTTAAAGTAGCATGCCCTAGGGAGTCCTGACTGTGTCTGAGAATCACTGTGTAGGGAACTTACCCAGTCCCAAAGCTAACAAGATGCTGCCTTTCTAACATTGGCAAATTTATTTTTCCCTTTCTGGTAACAAGTGGTTCTTAGTCTGAAAGCCCCTTGCTTATATTGAAAACACTGTTTCCACATTACTAACTGTTGAAAGTTGTATCAAATGTCCTTTGTCATGCTTTTGGTGAAACTGTGGTTCTAGTAAACACACTTTAAGAAAGAATCTTCTAAAGGAAAACTTGATTATTGATAGCATGTTGGCAGCATACCTTTTTCAGTGATAGATGCTGTTTTATACTTACAGGTTGATGACTTGTTTCCACATATCTCTTATGGTATAATTCTTGAGCAATTTCCTGAAAGATACGCCGAGCACTCTTCTGCAGAATCAAAAGGAAACATTTGTCTTTCAGGATCATGCATTCTAGCTTCATGGCAGGGGATTCATTGTAGAGGACCCCTCTACAGCTACACAGTTAGCTCCTTAGCTCTGAGTACATTTAGTAGAATTTATGGCTGAGAACTGTCAAGTTAGGATGACAGCTTCCTGCCCAGATGATGGCTGAGGATCCCTAACCGGGAACAGAAGCCTCCAGGATGGAAGTTCTTACTGTGTTGTTCTCTGGGCTTCTTAACAGTTTACCATTGGACTGGATCCCACCCATCACAGTATAAAAACGCAAGAACTTGCAGTACCTTTTTTGAGTCTTCCTTGGTTTCTCTGCTTCTTGGACTGTTAGACTTTGACTGCCAAAAATAAGAAAATCTATGAGCATTTTGTGTCTTATGCTGAAAGAGGACTGAGCTGGTGCAGTGTCTGAGTGACACATATTAGGTAACTTTGATAACATTTTAGGTGCTTTTAATTAACAAATGAATTTAACAACTTAAATGGATGTTTGTTATAGCATATGAACAAATTTTAATAAATAATTATACCCCAATTTTTTAACATATATACAGACCAAGATACTCTTTTGGTACATTTAGTTTTAAATATTTTTAAGGCAATTTTTAGTTAACTTCTCATTAACTATTTCTGCTCTTAAAGATTGTCCTTCAGGTTTTCCTAGATAATAGAGAACCATCCTCTCTCTAATCCTCACCCTTGCAGCAGAAAGCTGACACAGATGCTTTATTCCCTAATTCTGGAAGAAGTAGTGTGACTGTTGTCTCTGACTAATAGTCTCACTGGTGAAGGAACAAGGTGTCTGCTACAGCCTACTCTGAGGTGGAGGCCCCTGAAGTTGTGGGCCAGCTATTTCTGAGGTGGACAGATGAAAATGCCTCTTTATGGTAACATTGGAGGTGAGGATATTTAACTTACTTTGAAGAGGACTATGAAGATCACACACATCCCAGTGATGTAGACAGAGAGCAGTGCTAGGAGCACTATCAGGAGACTCTGCACCTCCTTGCTGAAAAGTCTTTCTTCATGGTGGAAACACAAAGGGACAATCACTGTTGAAGCATGTTCCTGCAGATGTCTGTGAAGCATCTCTTAAACAACATTTACAGGTGGAGCCTGAACTTGGTGTGCTTGCCCCTTCCAGCAACATCTACCTGGGGTCCTGTGAGTAGAAGATGCTCAAGAATGTGATAGAATCAGTTCAATGGTCTTTAAATGTGTTAGACCAGAAATGCATAAAAATATTATAAAAAATTAAGTTGAAGAGCAAGGTATACTGGCCCACACTTTAATGTCAGCACTTGCATGGCAGAGGCTCTGAGTTGGAGGCCAGGCTGCTTTACATAGTAGGTTCCAGTATAGCCAGAGCTACATAGTGAGACTGTTTCAAACAAACAAACAAACAAACAAACAAACAAACACATTGAGTTGGACATCTATTGTAATGCTAAGGATCACCTGTTGTGTTTTGAATTCTTTCCTCCCTTTCTCATGGTACCAAACTGTTGATTGAACCTCCTGCCTCACATATGCTTAAGCCTTCTACCACTGAGCTACATTCAGCCCAAGAATTACTTTTTTATGAACATTACATAAATACATGAACATTGAAATTGCCTTTTGTTAGAAGTGATGAACAAGAATTAACAACTCTTTCGGTACAGTGCGGATATTTTCTTGTGTATTGTTGGTGCAACTGTTAAAAGCTAACCAGTACTCTGTGATAACAACTGGAGGAGGCTATGTATTGAAGACCTTAGAGTCAGTTCCTTGTTTTAAAGGCAGTTGTTCTGTGTGACATGTGTGTTTCTTTGTGAAACCATCCAAGGAGAAATACTGAACCCATTTTCATACTCAGCATTCTCTCTTTGGGCAGGAAGTGACCTGTGTTCAAAGAGAGGATTAAGTAACGTGTGCCTTTCAGTACTGATTATGTGAAACATGAAAATACAGTTAGATACAAAATTATTTTCTATCAACCAATAGTTTTAGCTAAATATGTGATAGGTCCTGTCTCATGGACTCAGTTTATACAATGTACTTTTTTTTTTTAATTTGTAAAACATCACAAAATCTTGCTCAGATCAGGTTTAAAACCTTTATCTCATAAGCACAAATTAGGATATAAATCTGGTAGTATAATACTTTAACCCGAGCATTACAAGCTGCCAGTTTCTAGACCCTTCCTGATTGATTCCATCTAGTATCCACAGACACAGAGGCAGTAGTGGGCCTTTTCAGTTCTTTCTCCATCCCCAGACTGATTCCTGAGAGTTGAACAAGCACTCTTCTTTCCTGTGCTGCAGCATCTAGGTGTAACACAGGGAGACCAGCGTGTGCAGCATCTAGGTGTAACACAGGGAGACCAGCGTATGCAGCATCTAGGTGTAACACAGGGAGACCAGCGTGTGCAGCATCTAGTTGTAACACAAGGAGACCAGCGTGTACAATGTCTAGACGCTAGAGGGAAACCTGTGCTGCAGTGTCTAGGTATAACCCAGGGAGGTGTGTGTGTGTGTGTGTGTGTGTGGGGGGGGGTGTCTAGGTGTAGGGAGACCTATGTATGCTGTTTTTAGGTGTAAACACAGGAGAACTGTGTGTGCAGTATGTAGGTGTAACACAAGGAGACCTATGTATCTTACTGCTTTCTCAGAAACTGGCTTAGCATTGAACCAGCTAGAAAATCACTCTGTAAGAGAAGCAGAAATGGGGCAGCGTTGGCACACACCTTTAGTCCCAGCACTTGGGAGGCAGACGCAGGTGGATTTCTGAGTTCCAGAGTTCAAGGCTAGCCTGGTCTACAGAGTGAGCTCCAGGACAGCCAGGGCTACACAGAGAAACCCTGTCTCGAAAAACCAAACCAAAAAAAAAAAAAAAAAAAAAAAAAAAAGAGAAGCAGAAATGACCAGTTAAATTGGACTCTGAGAAGATAAAGGGAATTAAACACAAATTTGGAGAGAAGCCACCAGTAGATCCTTGGCCATTATCATTCATTCTGCCTGGATATCAGAAGAAAAACTGTTGACTCTGGCTTCCTAAAAATATTCCTGACAATCTCTCACTCAAATGAGGGACTCAAACCTGCCTAAAATCCAGCAGTAATTTCACCAAGCCAACCTTTGAGTAGTCTGAGAAAGACATTTCAAAGAGACACATGCCTATGATGCCAGCTCCTTGGGATGCTGAGGCAAGAGGAGGACTTGGGCCAAGAGTTCAAAGCTAGCTTAGAACAGTACAGCAAAAATTGATTTAAAGGTAAAAAATAGTGAACAAAAACAAAATTAGAGAAAAGGCTTCACATGATTATGAAACTAATACCCACATACGTCTTAACAGATATGATGTAGCCCTGTGGACTGACCTCTTACCACCAACGTAGTCCCATTTCCAGTCTGTTTAGCTCTTGGTGCCTTTTCATTGGGAAATGCTATTCCACAGATGTAAATTGCACTGTCATTTGGAGACAGCCTATTAACAGTGAGGGAGACTCGGTTCTGGTCCAGGGTTTCTTTCACTGTGAACTTGTCTGCCTCATTGCTGCATCCATCCAAGCACAGAGCTTCAGGCTGTTGAGTGCCACAGCGAAACCACAAACTTTTTGGTTGCACTGGAGCGCATCCAATTGCAGAAAAGGTGCACTCCATGGTGACAGGACCAGGACCATCATAGTCCACCTCTAGGTAACCTGGCTGTAGCACAGACACAGTACAGGCACCCAGCACACCTGTGAGGAAGCACATGGGTGTTGAGGGGCTTTGTTGTTGCTGCTTCTTGCCAACTGTTGAGCCAGGGACCAGTCAGTTTCTGTTTCTTGTCCTATTCCCATTAAAAACAAGACTATAAAGGCTACAGTTGTCCTCGCCTGTGTTAACTCATTGCATTACCTCATGGTTTTTGGCATGCCATCTGGCTACCTGAGGACAACCTCAGAGGAACTCCTGTGATCAGTGTGGCTATTGGAGGTAGTGTGCCTGAAGCCAGCAGTACACAGAGTGCTGACAAGCATTCCCTTGATCTCAGGCCACCCTTTTCATCTTGAAGAGCCTATGTCCTCCTATGCACTCCTTGTTGTGGTGTGTGATTGAGCACATGAACCCTGGCAGGTTTTTGCCTGTTGGGGGCTGGGCTGCCTAGAGATGAATCTGGTGTCCATTTGGAAATTAGGATAACAGGAAGGGATATACCTATGAGAAAAAGCAGCCCTGGCTTAGCCTATGGCCTCCCCAACTATTGTAGAGCTGAGGCCAGGGCGTCCCCTGTGCATTGGTTGTACTTATTGTATGGTAACAAGGAGATCACAGACTGGAGTTAGAATCCACCTCTGTGATTGTAGTTGAGAGTACTGCCTGGGTTTCCTATCGTGGTGAGTGGGGATGTTGCTCCCTTGTGCAGTTAATGCAGAGTTTAAGTGTGATGAGGCCCAAGCCACAGTTTCTAATGGAAAGCAGCTGTTACTGCTGCCTCTCTGCCTTTACTACTCGCCACTCTGTGGAGGTGCTTGGAGCTTGAGTCTGCATCTTGACGTTCTAGCCCAAGACACAATGGAAAACCACTCAGGTGCTTCTTAATGGGAAGTCTCCTTAGACCCTTTTTGGGACAAGGGATACCACATGAAAAACGGTATTGGTTGAAGCAGATGTAGTTTTTAGTTCGACTTCTGCCTAGTTGTATAGGCCAAAGGGTCTCAAAAACAATGACTTCTTACTTATCCTATCCTGCTCCTGAGAATGGGGAAAAAAATCCAAATCCTCTGATGCTTTGTGTTCATTTAGCAGTGGTTCTTAACCTTCCTTAATGCTGTAGCCCTTTAATACAGTTCCTCATGTTGTGGTGATCCCAACCATAAAATTATTTCATTGTAACTTTACACTGTTATGAACTGTAATGTAAATATCTAATATTGCAGGGTCTGATATTCGACTTCAAAGGAGTTGCAACCTGCAAGTTGAGAACTGCTGCTTTAGGGGCCATGGTTCTCTTTCACTTAACATTGTGTCTTGTAGGTTCTCACCTAGAGCAGCAGAGGCAGTAAAGTTAGTCACAGTGTTTGTGAGAGTCTGTTTTCACATTTCCCCTTGAGCATTGTGTGCCTTGAGGTAAGCTGAGGCTCTGTGCTGACTGGCTGAGAAGAGTTTAGCTAGAGTTGGTCAGCTGGGAGTACTACCTAGCTTTTTGTGTGTCAGGAGGTCTAGCCAAGGGGAGTGGGCTCACACTAGCCTGTTGACTGCAGCTCCCCTCTGCCTAGCCTAGGCACAGCTCCTTAGAAGTCCAGGGGCTGCTCTGCAGACTTGAAGTAGATTGGTCCTGTCATTCCTACATGCAGACAGAACCCCCGTCTCAGGTGGCTTTCAATTGAAGATTTAAAAACTAAACCAACTGGGCTGGAGAGATGGTTCAGCGGTTAAGGGCACTAACCGTTCTTCCAGAGGTCCTGAGTTCAATTCCCAGCAACCACATGGTGGCTCACAACCATCTGTCATGGGGATCTGATGCTGTCTTCTGGTGTGTCTGAGGACAGCAGCAGTATACCCACATACATGAAATAAACAAATCTTAAAAAAAAAAAAAGTAAACCAATCTTTAACACAGTAAGAAATACTTGCAACTTGAGAATTTCCTCTCACAGTCTCTGTTGGGGAAACTGAACAGGACAGGGGAAGGGACAGTGTTGTCCCTTCCCCCTCCAATTGAGCAATATTAGTGAAAAAGAGAAGTCTGGATAGTGTCTCACTAAAGCCCTCTCCTGTGAAGTTTTTCTTTTAGGAATTTCTAGGTTCTGTAGGCTTTTTTTGTTTGTTTTAAATCAGTTTCCACTGAAAATGTTGAACGTTTAGCTCAGTGGAGGAAATAAAGTCACCTGACTTCTCTTTTAAAACTGTTAGAAAGTAAGTAGAGAACTTATTTTGGATACCTTGAGCTTGTTTTGTGTGTGCTTATGTATGTCAGCCTGTTCAGGTGTGTACCCCTGTGTCTGTGGGCATGCGGGCATGAATGTACAGATGTGTGTGGAGGTCTGAGGACAACCTCAGTTGTGTTCTTTGGAATTCTTTACTTTTGTTTTCCCAACGAGGTTCTCAGTGGTTGAATAGGCCGGACTAGCTAGGGAGCCCTGGGGCTCTGCCTCCCATCACCAAGATGGTGTGTGCGTGCCACCAGGCCCAACCTTTTTACATTGCTCTAGTAATCACACGTGGGTCCCTCTGCTTGCATAGCAAGCACTTTCCTGAGTCATATCCCCAGCTCCAGCATCTGCTGTTATTACTGTTAGCATCAGAAGCTAACTATTGCTATCATCATCATCATCATCATCATTATCATTTTTATTTGTTTTTTTGAGACAGGGTTTCTCTGTGTAGGTAGCCCTGGCTGTCCTGGAGCTTGTTCTGTAGACCAGGCTAGCTTTAAACTTAGAATCCTCCTGCCTCTGCCTCCTGAGTGCTAGGTTTGCGCCACCACTGCCTTGCCCAACATTTATTATTATAGAAAATGTCAAACATATGCAAAAGTAGCTACGTAGCACAGCAGACCCACCCTTGCCCGGCTTTACCTCGAGCTTGTTTGAGGTCTCCTCACTATCTCCTCTATTTACTCCTTGGTTATTATATCTGCAAACATTTCATAATAGAGCTGGAAAGAGAAAGCTGTTCTCTAATGCCAACAAAGCACTGTACAAAAGTAGCATATAGTCATTGCAGACAATAGAGCAGTGTAAGGCATCATCTTGGCCTTTTAGCCAGAAGACCTATTGTTAACATTTAGGTATAATTCACTCACTCCTCCTCCTCTTGCCCTGTCTCCCCTCCCTCGGCATTTCTCCTCTCCCTTTCTTTTGTGTTCTGGAGAGTGAACACAGACCCTCGCATATGCTAGACAAGTGGCCCACCACTAGGCTACTCTACCATGTATTTCTTTACAGATGAGAAAAAAATTAGTTTCAAGAATGTTTGCTTCATTTCTTGCCCTGCAATCCAGATTTTGTGGGTCAATCTTAGATCATTTAAACTATGATGAAAGAAATCGCTTTTATAGAGCTAGAGCAGGTACAGATAGAATTTAAAGATTAGTTCTGTTATCAGGTGGCTTTTCTCTAGGAAAGTTGCAGTTTTACAACCAAGTTCTTTCCACCCTTTAGAAACATTGTCCTATGAAAGTATTAAGCTAATATTGTGCAGTGTACAGTAGTCCAGAGCTTGCCTGTGTGGGAATTGGCTGAGTGACTAGCACAAGTGATCCTGAGCAGATTCTCTCTGGTGAGATATGCTCCAAGCAGCACAGCAACCAAGGGCTGAATGGAGACCTTTCTTCAGCTATGTATAGTTAGTACCCAGTTCTGTAAGAAGAGACCCACCACCTTACTGTAGTGCTGCCTTCTTAAGTTATCTGCTAAGAGCTTAGAGTATACATATAAGGCGGGAGGCAGCAGTCACTTAATGAGAAGGAAAGATCAACCTCCTTACCGACATGGAACAGGATCAGGCTGATTTCTAGCTGGAGGCCACTCCTGCTTATGCTCACAGGGCCCATCTCTGGTGCATGTGCCTTCTTTTCCACTTTTCTCTTGTCAGAGAGGAAGAAGTAAAGAGAGGAACTCATATTAAGGAAGCACAAGCAGGAACTTATAGAAATTGTGTAAGCATGGTTTGTAATAAGTTTCACCATTTAAAGTTGAGATTTCAGTCTTAAGTATGTGTGTATTAGGAATTGTCATGGACATTTGATGTTCTCTGTGGAGGTTGCGGGGAGTCATGTGCTCCTCAAGCAGTGACATTCTAGAGTGCTCTTACTGATGTGCTCCACTGTGGAGTTCCTCTCAGGGCCAGAGGCTGCTGCTAGACATGAGCAGCAGGAAGAGGCCGTGTTTCCTGTAGGCCTAGGAGAAAAAAACCAGCGAGTAACCAATGCATCCGGTGTGGTAAAGAACTACACAGCTGCTATTAAGCCTGTGCACCTGGCTTGAATTCAAAGATTTCTTAGTGTTGACAAGCAAAGTGGGTATGTCTCTTGGTGCTTGTTTTGGGTCTAAGTCACATGTAGTACCCCTTCTCCCCCAGCCTCTACAGTCAGGTGGTTCTTTGTAAGTAGCAGGAACTCAGACTGATCAAGCAAAAAGAGACTTATTAACAGGACTTGAAGTGGCTCCTGGAGTTTTAGAAGGCCTGGAGAACCATATGAACTCAGGTCAGGAGGAGCTTGAATCACACTGTGGAACTGCTCTGATGCTGGACACTAGATGCTGCAAATATTGTCATTAGCATCCACTCATCAGCCCACCTCCCTAGCCACTTGACATTAGTGCCTGTACTTGGCAAAAAGCCTCATTTTATTCTGGGTCATTCCAGTTTTGGCAACTGGCCAAGGTGTAACACCAGTCCCCTGCTGCAAGGAAGGCCAGAAAAGCAGCTTCCCCTCCCACCAAGAATTAACTGCCCTGACACGGAGAGAATGCAGTGCTGGCTCCTGAAGAGTGTGTAGTCTTTCCTGTTCCTTGTGTGCTCTATCACCTGCTGGTGCTGCATTGCCTTAGCATCGGAAGGAAGCCTCACGGGGAATTTTAGTGGCATGTCACCATAGCCTCTAAGAGCACTCCATATCCAAATGTACTTTTGGTTTGTCTGTCAAGTCAGGGTGTGGCTTGTAGTGAACAAACCTTGCCTGCTTCCCACACCCCAGGCTCTAATGCACATAGGCTTGGAAGTGATTGACAGATGACTTAGGGAATGGGTCAGCTTTTCTTGAAAAGCACATGTGTTTCTGTGAATTGAAATTCCTCCTGAGCCAATTTTAATTTTCAGCCAGGCAACTCCTAGACAGGAAGTTGAGTAAGTATACATGATCTTGTATATCCAAACCACCTTTCAAATACTAGTGGTTACTCTGTGACCCCATATTCAATATTCCCTGACTAGTTTCTGAGCCACAAAAGCAGCTCAGTCAGTGTAGGCTCTGGATGCAGACAGCCTGGGAGTTTCACTTTGGGTAAGGTCTGTCACTCCTTGCAGGCTCTGTCCACTTGCCTAGCAGAGAGTGGAACTGTTCAGAAATGGCGCATCCAGGGCGTTAGTACCTGGGACACTAGCACTCCCTGCACTTCCCTCTTTTAGTGAGTCATTGTTCAAGAATTTAACTTAATGTTTTTATTTGTTCTAGTAGGTGGCAAGTGGGAGAAACCATCAGAAATTCTGGAAATCAAGGGACAGAATTGGGAAGAGCAAGTGAATAGCCTGCCTGAGGTGTTCAGGAAAGCTGGCTTTGTCATCGAAGCTTTCACTAGACTGCCATACCTGTGTGAAGGCGACATGTACAATGACTACTATGTTCTGGACGACGCTGTCTTTGTTCTCAGACCAGTATAAACATGTGCAGGCCCAAGTCTTTGGAGTCACCCCTGGAATCTTCCCTCCAGAAGAGGAGATGCATCCAGTGATGTGAGGGGGACCTCTGGGGACTATCATTCTCAGTATCATGTAGGAATTTAAAAAGCCAAAATACTAATTCTTTCTTTGTAGTGTGTAAGGGAGTGTTTTTAAAAACAAAACCCAACTCTTTGTGTATTTTTAATCAACTCTTTACTCAGAATCACGCTCCAATGCAGGTCACTCTCCAATTATGATGGAAGATATTTTTTATACTTAATTGCTGTAGGGACTCATTCCCAGACAAAGCAATAGTCATGTCATGGAACCAATAAATGGATTGTTTTTAATAAATGAAGACTGGCAATAAAGCTGTCCATTAAATTCCAAATATTGGTTATAAAGTAGAACCATTGATAACTTCCATGTTTAGAAACTCCTTCTCTTACTATTCAAAAAATGTTTTTAATCATGCTAATAAACGTTTTTGGAGACGACTCTGGCACCATGTTTTTCTCTCAGACTCTGCAGCTTTGGCTTCAGGAATGAATGCGCAGCATGATGTGAAACACTCAGGCTGAGCCTGGAAGGCAGGTTTCAGCTTGGGTATGGTGGAGAAGCCCAGGGAATCATGACACCCCTAGAATGACCAACCTTACTCAGATACAGCACGCTAAGAAGCACCTCTCGGTCAGTGTACCTGCTTCTGGCCACAAAACAGCTTTGTTTTCTCAGGCTTCTTTAATTCTCCAGGATTGAAGCATTCCATTCCTTTGACTGACAGGATTCAGCCTAAATAGACACTCAGCTTCTTTCTCTTCCTTGAGTGCCATCTTCCCAGAACTTGGCTTATCCCCAGATCCTTAGCTGAGAGTAAGTATGTTTGCTAAAGACCATATCAGATGCCTGCTAGAATCCAAGAGTTTATTGGAATGTGGTGATACAGGAGATCTCGTTAACAAGATCAATAATCATTGTGGATACTAATCCAGAATCTAAAGACCCAGTAGTCACAGCGGTGACAGTGTGAATGTGATGTTACCCAGGTGTTCATTACCTGTGACCATTACACATAGAAAACTTCCACACCTGGGTGGAAGGGCCAGCGTGTTCATTAGGCAGCCTCTACAGCCCCACCTCAGCAGCCCTGCATTGTTACTGTGTAGTCAGACGAGGGCTTATGGGGTCCATGCACAATTGTTAGTGTGTGGTCTTACTTTTTTTCCCCAGGACTTTGGGGAAATGAAGAACAGACAGTGGCCTAGATAGTGAACAGAGGAATGCAGCAACCCTAACATACTTTTTTTGCAGTGGAAACTTGCTTCTTTACCTGGCATCAGAAGAGGCTGCTGTTTTATCCTGTCAAAACCAGGGAAGGGTACTGAGAGCCAGGTGGCTTCAAAGCAGCTCCTGTCTTTGAAGTTGAGGTCTATTGGAAAAAGACCACAGAAAAACAGAGAGCACCTGTGTTTATGCATTTTAAAGACAAATTCTCAAGAAAATCAGAGGTTCTTTGAAGATCAGTTTATTAAAAATGCCATTTTGTGGCTTGGAAACCAGATGCAGATGTATTCCTATGTTCTATCTAGTCTGGGAAGTCTTGATGTGTTGTCACCTTTGGCCACTAGATGGTGATGTTGTTTACCGAGTGGCAGTGGTTCACCTCCCATGGAATCCTATATTTCTCCCCAAGTGCTGCTTTGTGTGCACCATTCCTGCCATAAGTTCTTATATATCTATGAAGGAAGGGTGTGTTCGAGAAACCAAGAAGAGCTCCACCTGTGGTCAAGCAGGCTTGCCAGTTGACCCTGAAGGTGAGTGCAGAAAGGAAACACAACTTGCACCTGGGATTCCTGGCACCCTCCACCACATTCAAAACCCCTGGAGTGTTGAGAGCACTGATTATGGAGAACTGGGCAAGAGGACACAATGCCCCTAGTCATTTCCCCCTTGGGCGAGGTCTTTAAAACCACTTCTGTATTTCCCACCTTCCCATTAGAACTGTCAGCAAACTTTCCATTTGTTGTTTGGGTATTTGTTTGTTTGTTTGTTTGTATAGCCGGCTTGCAACAGGAAATAAGCTGGGCTGAGTAAGAAGTAAAACTTAGGTATTTCCAGCTTTCTCCTGAAGCTCTGTCTTCATTAACACCGCCACAGAAGTCAGGCGCTGGCCCCTACAGCACAAAGTTGGGCTGCTCACGACAGCTCATGTATCAAAGATACATCAGAGTTGGTAGGAGGTTGAGTTGTTTGTTACGCAAGCAAGCAAGCAAGCAAGCAAGCAAGCAAGCAAGCAAGCAAGCAGACTCTGAGAGCTTGGGATCCCAGCATGTAGGAGTCAAATATCCCTGGAGCACGGTGGGTACCCAACGTAGCTGAAACCACAAGCTACAAGTTCCGTGAAAAAACCCTACCTCAGTAGATAAAGCAGAGTGCAATTGAAGAAGCTATCAGAAGTCGGCCTTGGACCACAGCACACATACCCACACATGCACCTTCACATGCATGTGGGTGTGTGCGCACATACACAAGCACACGCACACAGTACAACATAATGGAAGAACATAATTGCATCTACCTGAAGAAGTACTTGTCATGTAAATGGGAAATTACACCCTGAAATTAAACAGTTCTGCAACATGAGATTCTAAGGGTTCACAACCAGTGGATAGTGGGACACTGGCTAAGAAAGGCTGTGAATGATGATACACGTCTGCATTCCGCCTTATCTGTTCAGTGTTCTGTGCTGTCGGCCTTCTAGTCGGGTATTCTAAAATTCAAGCAGTGTCTTAATTTTGAAATATTTTAGAAGTATATGACATGGGACTAATTTTGGGTTTGTAAATATTAGAGTTACAGCTGTTGTGTTTTATAAAAAAGATAAGAGAATGATGAATGTGTGTAGTCAGGTGTGGAGGAAGGGGGTGCCTCTGTGGGCCCAAGCTGAGGCATCCCTTCCCCCTGAGGGACCAGCCACACGACAATATAGTATAGAATATAGTTTATTCAGGGCATGGGGAGGGGAGTTGAGAGAGTAGTAGAGACAGAAAGGTAGAGAGGCAGAGAGACAGACTGAGAGAGAGACAGACAGGCTGGCCATGAGCACGTGGAGAGAGGCAGAGGGAAATAGAGAGGAGGAAAAGGACAAGAGGACAGAGTGGAAGTGAGAGAGTGGAGGGGGCAAGCAGCCCCTTTTATAGGGAGTCAGGCATGCTTGGCTGTTGCCAGGTAACTGTGGGGCAGAACTTAAATAAAAATGCTAATAATATCTCACTTAGCTCTCATGTAGTTGGCCATAGTGCTACTGTCTGATGGACCTATCCCATGTTCAAGGCTGTTGGGATTTTGCTACTTTTTCTAATATTTTTTTCTCCTATCCCTGGTTTCCATTCAGGATTCCTCACTACATTGGCTGGTTTTAATTTTTTCAAAGCTTTTCATTTTATGTGTATGAGTGTCTTGCTTGCATGATTTATGTGTACCTGGTGCCAGTGGAGGTCAGAGAGGGTTTCAGAACCAGAGATACGGTCTATTGTGAGGCACCGGGTGGGTGTGGAGAACTGAGCTCAGGTCCTCTCAGGAGCAGCCAGTGCTCATTCCCACTAAGCCCCTTCTCCAGCCAATTCTGTTTTTTAATGATCAGTTCTCACTGAAATAGAATGTCATCATTTGCTTTCCTGTTTTCCATTTTTTTATGTAGTCTAATGTATGTAACAGATTAACAACCAACCGTTTTGTTAGGTGTAGTCCTACAGTGCAGTCTTTTCCCTCATGTCGAGCACTTCATTTTGCCAAACTGGAAACTCTATTAAATAACCAGCTCTGTGTCTTAGGTTGCACATATAGAATGATACAATGTGTTGTTTGCTTTCTGGAGTGTGGTGTGTGTGTGTGTGTGTGTGTGTGTGTGTGTGTGTGTGTGTGAGAGAGAGAGAGAGAAGAGAGAGAGAGAGAGAGAGAGAGAGAGAGAGAGAGAGAGACTGTCTTATTTCACTTAGCATCTGAAGTTGCAGCCATATTTATAGCATGTTCCAGATGTTCCAGCATTTTCTTTTTAAGACTGAATGCTGTTCCATTGTCTGGGCATACCAATTTACTTCTCCACTTCTCCACTGGTAGCATTCAGAGTGCTTCCACATTTCAGCTGTTGGGAACCATGCTGCTGTGAATATGAGTATATAAGTATTTCTTCAAGACTGCTTTCATTTTGGGGGAGCAGATACTCAAAGTGGAACTATTGGGTCATTTTGTAATTCGTTCTAGTTCTAGTTTTTTTAAGCAACCACAATGATGAAAACATTTTATGTTCCCACACCAGTGCACAAGAGTTCCAATTTTTCTACACCATTGCCAATACTTACTTATGTATTTTAGAGAGTAGCCCTGAATGTGTATGAGGCGATACTGTTGGGAGTCTCATTCCCTAATAACTAATGAATCATATTTTCATAGTTCAATTTGGGGCATTTGGCTTCATTTCCTGGTAAAGTGCACTTTGTAAATGTCTACTTGTACCCCTAAACAACAGAATCCCTTTTCTCTATGAAATCTCAGACTTCCCTGGAGAATTGGGAGAATATTATTACATAACTAGAATTTAAGAGTCCCTCTGGGTTTGAAAGTCAGTATGCCCTATTCAGATGAATTAATGCTTTCAGTATAAAGTCATTTTTAAATTACTTTCAATGCCTGTAAACTGGTGACATAACATTGACTATCTGCACTTCAGTTCTAGAACATAAGTGTAACAGGATGCCCAGATGCTGTTATTAGATAGCCTGTTTAGGATTTCATGTAATACTGATTTATCTTTTGAGATGGGGTCTTGCTGTGTTGCCAGGCTGGTCTCAGACTCGAGTTTGGAGTGATCCCTTCTGTTCCAGGTTCTTGAGTGGATGGGGACTATAGCTTTGAGCCATTGCCTTGGCTGGGATATTGCGTTTAAAGGCCTGTGAGCCCCCAACCCTTTCCCATGGGTGGGTTGAAGTGGCCAGGACTATGTAACCATCCTCTTAAACTCAGTTTTAGTTTCTCAGCACTTGGGTTTGACATTCTGATGGCTGTTACTGGTCACAGAGCCCTGTTGAGTTTTGCATTCCAAGTATCACACTAAGTAGAGAATAACAGGCAAAAAAAGAAGACAATGAAAATGAACCTCAGTTGTCCAGTCTGTGGCTGAGTGCACTACTGTTGACAGTTTTGGTAGGTGTCCTAACAGGGCTCCCCGGTGCCTGTGTGTGTGCTCCAGTTCAGGTGTCTCTATGTGTGGTGATGGATGCTTTAATTTCTCTAGGAGAAATCATGTAGAGCTCGCAGGCACCTGGTTTCTAGTTAGAAGCTGACAAGATGCAAGATGTTTCCTATCATTCAGGCCGTGAGGACAAACTGATGCAAGGCCTGGGGACAAAAGGACATGTTGAGGATGCTGGAGACAGAATATAAAAATTCATTGATGGGTATCAGAACACCTCAGTGGGTATTTTCTGAAGAGAATGTTTAATGTTGTGACAAAACAATATAAAAATTAGGATGATTGAGATATTTCATTAAATGGGAGAATTGCAAGAAAGCTTCTCAGGTCCATAATTGTGTTTTCACTGGGTAAGATGAAAAACAGGTATGCATAATCTCACTGATACAAGGCCATTATTTTAATGTATCTGTGTCTCATTTTAATAAAAGCACATTATATTAGTAGTTGGCTTTTTTTTTGTTTTAGAGATGGAATAATTTTTTTTTGTGTTCTTATTGTATGATCTTTCTTTAAACACTGTTCTTCCTTGTGGGGATGGGACCCAGGGCCTGGCATGTGCCAGGCTCAGTCTACCACTGAGCCGCACCTTCAGCCCAAGGGTGTTCTATGGGAGTGTAATCTGTGTAGTTGATGGATGGTCATCTAGCCACAGGCTTACTGCTGAATACCTAAGATGGAGCTCTCCCTGTTGTCTCTAATATGTGTGCTAGTAATTTTTTTTCTGGAAAGTTCCAGACATTTTTTAAATGCATAGTGTGTTGTCTAGTCATGTCTACTTGATATGCAAACTAGTTACATGAAAGGAGGGAGCCTCAATTGAGAACAATGCCTTCATAAGATCCAGCTATAGGGCATTTTCTTAAGTAATTGATGGGGGAGGGCCCAGCCCATTGTGAGTAGTGCCATTCCAGGGTTGGTGGTCCTGGGTTCTGTAAGAATACAGGCTGAGCAAACCATGAGGAACAAGCCAGTGAGCAGCCAGGTTCCTGCCCTGACTTCCTTTGGTGATGAACAGTGATGTGGAACTGTAGGCCAGATAAACCCTTTCCTCCCCAGCTTGCTTTTGGTCATGGTGTTTCATTGTAGCACTAGAAACCCTAACTAAGACACACGGTGATAAAAGAGCCTTTCTCACCCAGCTTCAGCAACTACAGTCACTGGTCTCACCCCTCCATTCTTCTGCTGCTTTGTCTTGCCCTCCTGACTCTCATGTCCTTCATGTATAGCTCAGCCTGACTTTCAATTTGTAAATGTGTTTATAAAACCTTTTGTTGTTGGTTTTTAAGGTAGGGTTCACCGTGTGGCCCTGGCTGGCCCGGAACTTATTTTGTAGGCTAGGATGGCCTCAAACTCACAGAGATCTGTGTTCACCACAGCTGGCTGAGATAGGATTTTTAAAGGGCCTGCTACAATGAGTGTGTCTTTAAACAGCCAGACTACTAAGTATCTAGTGGCTACAGTGTATCACAGTGACCAACTGTAATTTTGCCTTTTTTGTTTTTTTTTAATACAGTATTTTGTAGTCCATTCTGCCCTCGAATTCAGTGTCTGGTCTCAGCTTCCCACATGCTGCAATGACAGCTGTGCCATCACTCCACCCAGCTTGACTTTCAATTTTCAATAGTGTCTTTGAATCTGGGTCCAAATAAACTCCCTGCATTGTCATTGGCTGTTGTCTTCAGTGAAGCTAACCTCCCCTGTCTGGCTGCTGTCCCAGAGGGAGGGAGGGTGCTTAGGGAGACCCCAGGCAATCCAGCCTTGGCAGAGAAGGGGGTGGAGGAGCTGCACGCCAAGCATTGCTGTCCTGAGAGGTGTGGCCCTGGCCCCACTGTGTCAGACTCGGCAGTAGAGCTTGCATCTCAGCAAGTGAGGACCCGTGGGCCAGGCGCTGGTGACTGGAGTGAACAGACAGAAGGACGGTAGGCCCAGTGAGGGTACACAGCCTTATGGGCTCCTAGGTATCCATAGGATGGTGGGAGGGGCATGTGTGTGTGTGTGTAAGAGAGAGAGGGGGGGGAGGGAGAGAGAGATGACACTTCTCAGAACCTGTTTAATAACACACTATAACAGAGACCCTTGCAAGGACACCTGCAGCAACAGTAGCATCAGTCACACATAATAACTACTGCTGTTTGAGTCTGGAGATCCAGGCTGGGCTGGGAGCTTTGGGAGTGTTATGAGGAGCTGATATTTAATGCTTGCCTGGCTCTTGTGAGGAAATGTGAAAAGATGGGCCCAGTGCACACTGGATGTATACTTAGTTTATTTTGCACTGGGAAGTAGATGTAATCCCCACATACGAGAAAGCTCTTCCATTGAGAGCCATGAGAGCGAGCCCTGCCATGATACACTTATGAATGCCTAAAAATATGTCATCCTCAGATGTAAAGATAGAAAAGGCCAGAGGGGTTAAGGAATTAGCTCAATAACACACAGCTAGGAACTGGTAGTCCAAGTTAAAGCTGCGATCTTACTGTTGCTGCATCCCTGGGTTTGGGATTTGGGACTGTTGAGCCTGTCAGCATTTTCAGTTCCTTAGCTCAGTCTTGGCTCTGTTACCTATTAACTGCATAGCCTTGGTCTGCTCACCTGATTTCTGAGAAACAGCTTCCTCATTTGTGAAGTCGGCACAATGGTGGTGTTTACCTTAAAGTTTGTGCAAGATTGTAGTGTGGTGATGCATGCACAGGGCACACCCCTGGCTGCCTCATTCGGTGTTTCTGAGGACCATGAACCATGAAAGCTGCTGCTGTGTTTTAGGACACTGCCATTTGCTTGCTATGTGAGCTTTTCGAGAACATGAACTCTCCTGTGAAACATAGCAGAGTAAACTCGGCTGATAGAGCCAACAAGGAGAGGACTCGGTGTGGGGGACACTCGGTGTGGGGGACACTTGGTGTGGGGGACACTTGGTATGTGGAGGACACTCAGTGTGGGGGACACTCGGTGTGGGGGACACTCGGTGAGTAGGGTACCCAGGATCCTGCTGCTCCTCTCCTTCCTTGCACTACAGAAGCCAGAGCCTTTCAAAGAAGAACAAGGAAGACATGGCTGAGAGTTTATGTTTTTGGAAGAGGGGGATAGATAGGGACCCACAACCTTCCCTACAAACTCCCTATCCCCCTGATGCGGCAGCCCTAAGCTAGGGGGCCACAACATGAAGTACTGAAATTAAATGGAAGTTCATTTAATGTGGTGGGCTTGCTTTTGCCTCAGCCACGAAATGTCTTTCCTTGTTTTGTTCTTGTTTTTGAGAAAGGGGTTTATTATGTGGCCCAGGCTATCCTGGAACTAGATTCATACATTAGGCTGGCTTTGAACTGGCAGTGATTCTCCTGCCTCTGACACTCTCCAGAGTGCTAGGATTGGATTACAAGCACTGCCACACTCAAGTATGAAATAATATATTTTACTTATTTATTTGTGTGTGTGTGTGTGTGTGTAAACGCTTCCAGATAGTATCCATGGGCCCATATGTGGTGCTCATGCCACAGACTTTAAATGGAGCTTCCTCACAGCCGTGATAAACTTTTGATAGATGTTGGGGGATGGAGGGAGGGGGGAGGGGGCATGTCTCAGCTTGAAGGAACCTCTTGGCATCACATCTCACTTCCCTGGGGACTAATTGTCTGGTCGGCAGCCTGAACAGCTTATTTCTGGCTTGCCTGTGACTTTCAGGTTTTGAGATGTTGAGTTGGCACTCTCTCTGTTCCAGTTGGCAGGACAGCTGACCACTCCCTCAAGTAACCTCTGAGCTCTGAGGTCTGTACTGACTGCTGCTGCCTTCATCTGAGCTTCTGCAGGTGGTTTGGTGGAGAAGGGCAGGGCCACAGAGAACGCTATCTGCTGTGCACCACCAAACGGCCTATGCCTTGCCTAGCCTTTTCAGTCTTTGGACCAGCCCTCTAAAAGAGAATACCCCAAAGGGCCTTTAAATAAAACCAAATCCCCAATTGACAGTGGGCTGGGGTTTCACTGGGACTGAAGACATTCTGTGCCCAGAAAGAGGAGTGTTTGTTTCATAATTGTAAACCTCTCACAGAGGTAACAGGATCCCCTCAGCCATCTGCACAAGAAGCCTCATTGTTTGGGAAATTGGAGGACTGTGAATGGGGCCAATGGCCCAGGGACATGTGACCAAAGAGAAGAGGGGAAAGAGGCAGAAGGTTCCCTAACCACCCAAATCCAGGAAGTTATTATTGGAGATCAGCATAGCAGTCCCCAGGAGTGGCTGGTGGGCAGAATGCCAGTTTCAGTGTCTGGAGGTTTTGAAAGTTATGTCATGGTCTGCTTTGCCCTGGAAAGTCAATTGGGCACATTTGGTTTGTGATGTTTGCCCTGGAGGTCCCCTAGGGGACAGAACAAGCCACTAGTGTAATAAGTTAGGCAACACTTACGAGGGCTCGACTAGGAAATGCTGGGATGTCTTTAATTGTTAGGTATCACCAAACTTATGTCATCACCAGAAGTTCCTGACAATCCTGAAAGAGGGTGCTGTTGTTACCTCAGTACCAGAAAAACTGAAGCAAACAATTTATCCACGGATTCAGAAGGATGGTTGATAACAATTTTATCAGAGTTTTAAGAGAAAAACATAGAAAAGGGAAGGTGACAATCCTAGCAGCCACTAGGAGGAGAGACAGAGAAAGTCATTCCTTAAGGTGCAAATAGCTTACCAGGAAGGGACAAGCACCCCTGCGGACAGACAGGCTAGTGAGCCTATGTTAAGAGCTCACAATGTTCTGGGCTACGTTGAGGTCTCTAATAGCACCCCTCCGCCTGTGGGCTTTCTTTCACAGATGCTGTGTTCGTTAGAGCCAGCATTGGGAAGTCTTCCTCTGCAAACTGGCTTCTTTCGTATAAGTCTTGTCTAGCTTTTTCCAGACCTTACTTCCTCTCGCATTATCACTTCTCTGGGGTGTGGCCTGCCTGGGAGTCAGCAGAAGCAATGTGTAATTTCTTGTCTTCATCCTACTTGGCAGCCTTGAGCATCCTTGTGTGTGGTTCCTCTAAGTATGAAAATGGAAATACATTTCACATGTTGAATGTTTATGTTGTCAAGAAATACTATTTTTTCTACTTTCTTTTTTTTTACACATTAAACAAACATCTGTGGTCACCACCATCAACATACCCAGACACCTGAGTCAACCAGCTTATAAAGGGGAAAGGTTTATTTTAGCTTACGGGTTTGGAGGCTCCTCCATGACAGGTTGGTGCCTGCAATGAGACAGCTCCTTGTGTCTGGAATGTTAGTGGAACATACTGTTCACCCTATCTGCCAGAAAGCAAGAGAGGAAGAAGGAGGCTCTGGAATGCCACAATCCCCTCTAAGCACATAGCCTTCGTGACCCAAGCAAGAACATTTCTACAGAGGTTCCTTTCAAAGGCTTCACTACCTCCCATGGAAGGTGTGTCATCCTGAGAACCAAGCCTTTAACAGCAGCTTTGGAGGTGGGGGAGGTGGGGCATCCAGACCACAGTTCCATTCTTCACTCATGAGCTGAACAAATCGGGCAGCTATCTGAATTGATCAAAGGTGTCATTTGCTGGCCCCTCCATTAAAGCATCAGATGGCTCAGTAAAGGCACTTGCTGGCAGGTCTGCTGACTTGACTTCTATCCCTGGAATCTACATGGTGGAAGGAGAGAACCAGCACCTGCAAGTTCTCCTCTGACTGACACTTGAGCCCTATTGCATGCCCTTCGAGATAAATAAATAAATGCAAAATTATTTTAAAAGATGAAAGATCCTTAGAAAATGTGAGAACACAGTTTCATCATCAGATTTAAAAATAGTAATAATTATTCTTTGAAATATGCACACGTGGCTCAAATTTCTCCAGTTGCTTTCCTCCTCCTTCTTCTTCTTCTT